GTCAAGTTGAACCCAAGGATAAAAGATGTCAGTAAATTGAAGTTAATAGGAGGGTTAAAAATGAGCCCCAAGGCACCACTATAGCTCACCTGGTTGAGCTGGCGTCCCATGTACAGGGCTACAGTCCCAATGTGGAGGTCATGGGTTCGAATCCCCCTCATTACCCTTTCCCACACGTCCTTCTCCCATTCTTCTCCCCCACTTTCCTGTCTCTCTCTCACTATCACTATCGAATAAAGGCACAAAGGCCAAAAAAAGAAAAAGAAAAAATGAGCCCCCCAAAAAAAGCACCCAGAAGCTGCTTGAGGTTCGGAGGGTTTTAATATTTAGTCGTTTAAATTCTGCTCCATGATGAGATAAGTGCTGCACGACGTCACGGAACAGTCGTACCCTTTACCGCCGCTGCGAGATACGCTCACACCGACCGTTTTACACGGAACATTTTATTGGGCTGACAGCGGTCCAGACAAGAGTACAGCAGTGATCTTATTATCTTGTTAGAAAATAGCCGTGATAATTCCCCGGCTGCTTTGTAACCTGGTGCCGGCCGCTATTTATCCGCCGATTCTCACTGCATTGGAATGTGTTTACAGTGTGTGGCTGCGTGATTGGTGAACGTATTATTTTGTGTGGTATTAATGGTAAATGTTAGGTCATTCCCCAGCATGAGAGCTTTCATCAAGAGAAAAAAAAAAGCTGGGAGGAATCAGCAGCTTGATGAAAACTAATGATTCTGCCTCTGCTGCCACCCAGTGGAGCCTTTACGCCACAGCCTGGGTTCATTCAGGGGACTCCATGTGATCGCTCGTGTTTTTTAACCAATGATTTATTAGTTAAAACATCATTGTGGCAGAACCATGACAAGCATCTGTGAAAAAAACATAATTCATGAAGGATTTCTGACCTACGTTCTAAGTGAAATAAATGAATAATTTTCTTTTGCAATAGTTCATCTGCATCTTATTTTGCATTTCTATTTTCTGATGATATATCCACGCTGGTGTGATCACTTTCCTTCCAAGATTTAGTTTCATGTTCTTCGATGTTCTCAACAGGGGCGAAGAAGAGGTCAGCCACAAGAACAACGCTCTGAAGCAGGTCAGGGAGCTGCAGGCCCAGCTGTCTGAGCTGCAGGAGGACCTCGATTCAGAGAAACTGGCCAGGAACAAGGCTGAGAAACTCAAGAGGGACTTGAGCGAAGAGCTTGAAGCCCTCAAGACTGAACTGGAGGACACGCTCGACACGACCGCAGCCCAGCAGGAGCTCAGGTACTGGATTCTACCTTCTGCTCACCCTTAGCTTAGATAACGAGGCTTTTTGCAGACCCTGTCGCTCTTCTCTGTAGGACCAAGCGTGAGCAGGAGGTCGCAGAGCTGAAGAAATGCATCGAGGAGGAGACTAAAAACCACGAGGGTCAGATCCAGGAGATGCGTCAGAGGCACGCTACCGCCTTGGAGGAGCTGTCGGAGCAGCTCGAGCAGGCCAAGAGGGTAACTGACCTCCTCACAGTCACGGATGTGTCAGATCCACCAGAGAAAGCTTCTGATTTCATAACGCTAATGTTTGTTGTTGATCATGTTCAGTTCAAGGCTAACCTGGAAAAGACCAAGCAGAGTCAGGAGACCGCAAACAAGGAGCTGGCCAGCGAGGTGAAGAGTCTGCAGCAGGCGAAGACGGAGTCCGAGCACAAGAGGAAGAAGCTGGAGTCTCAGCTGCAGGAGCTCATGGCCAGAGTCACCGAGGGAGAGAGGTCCAAGGGGGAACTGGCTGACCGCTCACACAAGCTGCAGGTGAGCGGCGTAGACGGAAAGTAGAGGCCGATTATCAGGTCGCAAAGGTGGCTGTCTGTTAACCTGTGCACAACAAAGGCTCTTGATAATCAGTTGTAAGCATTCTGTTGATTTGGATTCATTCAGAAACTTGTGTAAATGTTATGATGCTTGGAGGAGTTTGTCTTAGAAAGAACAGAGATCTGAACATGCAGATCTTTAGTTGGGATTTAATGTGTTTGTTGTTTCTGATTTGGCCTTTATTTGTTTTGTAGAGACATTTGATTTAAAGCAATAACCTAGTTTTATCCTCTCCACACAGACTGAGTTGGACAACGTCTCCACCATGCTGGAAGACGCAGAGAGGAAGGGGATCAAGATGACCAAAGACGTCGCTGGACTCGAGAGTCAGCTGCAGGACACACAGGTGCAACATCTCTGAGCGCTGAGCATCATGAAGAAATCACAGAACCCAGGATTTTTTTTAACTAACTGTAGCATTTGTTTTCATTTAGGAGCTGCTCCAGGAAGAGACTCGTCAAAAACTAAACCTCAGCAGTCGTATTCGTCAGCTGGAGGAGGAGAAGAACGCTCTGCAGGAGCAGCAGGAGGAGGACGAGGAGGCGCGCAAGAATCTGGAGAAGCAGCTGTTGACCCTGCAGAGTCAGGTAGGACGTGTGATCTCTAGTGTAGGAAACAGTGTGTGAATAACATCGGTTTTCATTTTGTTCTGATGATTGCGATGTTGCTGTAGCTGTCAGAGAGCAAGAAGAAGCTCGAGGACGATGTTGGAACAATAGAAGGCCTGGAAGAGACGAAGAAGAAGCTGCAGAAGGACATGGAGCTGACCGGCCAGCGTCTGGAGGAGAAGACCATCGCCTTTGAGAAGATGGAGAAGACAAAGACCCGCCTGCAGCAGGAGCTGGATGATCTCACCGTGGACTTGGATCACCAGAGACAGATCGTCTCCAACCTGGAGAAGAAGCAGAAGAAGTTTGACCAGGTGAGAACACGCTTCATTGGAGTCGTTCTGTTGCGTTTTACAGTACAGTTGTAAGTTTGTCATGGAGACATTTTTAATCCTCTAGTTGTACAGTTAGAAGAGGAAGCGTGAGGTGAGAGGTTTTGAGTTGGTTGCATTCCACAACCTTCCAGCTAGATGTCACTGAATCCTCCACACAACACCTCTAAGCATGTAGGAGGACTTACATAATGCAGAAAACACTAAAGGCTCTCGACAGTCAGTGTTTGGTTTGTCTTTTCTGGACTGCTGTAGAAACATGGTGGTCCAACATGATCGACTCTGAGAAAGAGAAAATATAAAGAGCTCATTCAAAGCTAAAAAAAAATAAACCCACAGCAACCCACTGCTTCTAGATCTCCCTTAGTCCAACACTTTGGAACTTTTTGAGATTCTAGACATCACAATTTGCAAATTAAATTGTCCTAAAGTCACAGTCCACCCTCTCCTCCACAGATGCTGGCTGAGGAGAAGAGCATCTCGGCCCGTTACGCCGAGGAGCGCGACCGGGCTGAAGCCGAGGCCAGAGAGAAGGAGACCAAAGCTCTGTCCATGACCAGAGCTCTGGACGAGGCGCTGGAGGCCAAAGAGGAGCTGGAGAGGGTCAACAAGCAGCTCCGTGCTGAAATGGAGGATCTGATGAGCTCCAAGGACGACGTGGGCAAGAACGTGAGTGTCCACAACAATGCTGCATGTTTCTTTCTTTTTTCCATCCGTCCTCTCTTCCTGCTCTTCCATAACTCTCATAAATCTCCCAGGTCCACGAGCTGGAGAAGTCCAAACGCACCCTGGAGCAGCAGCTGGAGGAGATGAAGACTCAGCTGGAGGAGCTGGAGGACGAGCTGCAGGCCACAGAGGACGCCAAGCTGCGTCTGGAGGTCAACATGCAGGCCATGAAGGCTCAGTACGAGAGAGACCTGCAGGGCCGCGACGACCAGAACGATGAGAAGAAGAGAGCGCTGGTCAAGCAGGTGCAAAGAAACCTAACATCTAACTTAATAAATAATAGCTCTGCTGTAGCGTATATATGCCATCAGTACATTTCATACTAAAGACTTATCGTTCCTTCTCCTTCCAGGTGCGAGAGATGGAGGCAGAGCTGGAGGACGAGAGGAAGCAGAGAGGTTTGGCTGTCGCTGCTAAAAAGAAGCTGGAGATGGACTTAAAGGACATCGAGAGCCACATAGAAGGAGCCAACAAAGCTCGAGACGAAGCCATCAAGCAGCTGCGCAAGTTACAGGTACAGATGTCAGTCTCATGTTCGCATCAGTGACACTAAAGACATTATTCTCCATTAATTCCACTCCATTGTCTCCCTCAGGCCCAAATGAAAGACTATCAGAGGGAGCTGGAAGATGCCCGAGCCTCCAGAGATGATATTTTTGCCATTTCTAAGGAAAATGAGAAGAAACTCAAGAGTCTGGAAGCTGAGATTGTGCAGCTGCACGAGGTCAGGACGCCTGATGTCGAGACATTTCATGTGTTGATGTATTCTTGTCCACTCTGCTCTATGATCTGTGTCCTTTAGTTTTTAATGATGATTTCAAGTGTTTTTTTTTTACTGTTCAGTCAGTGGTAACTTTAAGCAAAGTGCTACATGACTGGAGTTTGTTATCTCATTATTTATAGGTAATTATGTTTTTTTTTTATGACGCTGATGCATCAAACCGCCTCATAGTAAAATGACACACTAGAAAGTATAACCTCTTTGTGCTGTGCAGGACCTGGCAGCATCTGAGAGAGGTCGGCGCCATGCGGAGCAGGAACGGGATGAGCTGCAGGATGAAATCTCAAACAGCACCTCTGGAAAGTACGTTAACCTCAACCGCTTGCATACACATGTATGTCAGTAGCATGTGATTCTTGTAAACACCAGACAGATTGACATTATTACCTATTTGATTCTCCAGGCTGGATTTTTATTGTCACACAGTGTTTGTGTGGCGTCTTCGTCGGCACACGGAAGTGATCGATGTCACATTTTGACTTTGGTGTCAGACTGTGTGTAAGATTTCTTTTCTTTGTGTGATGTCAGGTCTGCTCTGATGGATGAGAAGAGGAGGCTGGAGGCTCGTATCGCCCAGCTGGAGGAGGAGCTGGAGGAGGAGCAGGGCAACATGGAGCTGCTCAACGACCGCTTCAGAAAGACCACCATGCAGGTGTGGAGTGTTACCAGAACAGAGTATCCTCACTGGATAAATTATGTCTAGTAATTTCTAGAAACTTTTATTTAGCATGTGAGTCCAAAAGTAGTACTAGTCCTACTGTCTTAAGTCCACTTCCTGCCTCCCTCTTTCCATGACCTCCTCCGTTCTCCTTCCTCTCTGCCTTCAGCTGGACACCATGACTACAGAGTTGAGTGCGGAGCGCAGCACAGCCCAGAAAAGCGAAAACTCTCGTCAGCAGCTGGAGCGTCAAAACAAGGAGCTCCGGGCCAAGCTGGGCGAGCTGGAGGGTTCTGTGAAGAGCCGGTTCAAGGCCTCCATCACCGCCCTGGAGGCCAAGATAGCGCAGCTGGAGGAGCAGCTGGAGCAGGAGGCCAAGTAAGAACTCATGGCAATGAGCTAATGATATGACATTTCAGAACAGCCTAAAATACTCACATGTTCTCCTCTAAAGGGAGCGAGGAGCAGCCAACAAGATCGTGAGGAGGACCGAGAAGAAGCTGAAAGAGGTCTGCATGCAGGTGGAGGATGAGCGTCGCCACGCCGACCAGTTCAAAGAGCAAGTACGTCTGTCGCCGCTGGTGTTGTTGCTGCAAACTGTGTGATTTTAACAATCTTGCGAATTCACAGAGTCGACATGAATGAATCAAATAAAATGTTATAAGCGTGCACTGTCCATCCATGAAAAAGACACTAGCGTGAACAAAGTCCTCGCCCTCGTGGCATTTATGTGTTTGGAGAGAAATCCCCAAAGATGGCGGAGGAGGAGAACATGGATGCTGTCGTGGCTCCGAAAGAGAGGCCAACTTGGGATGCTAATTTTGCAAAGGGAGCTGATCAGTGCGTCACTTCATCCTGCATTTCTGTTGGTTAGTTAGCTGGCGTTAGGTTGCAGCAGCACTGTGAGATGATCACCCCACATTTCTGACACCGACTCCTTGAACCTGTCTCACAACGCAGGACCACCAATTTAGAGCCATCATCAAAGACATCGCCACGATTCTCTCACGATTATCTTTAGTCTTGGACAGCCGAAAATCATACAGTGTGCAGCGGGCTTTAATAAAAACTAAGATATTTTCACGTTCAAGATGTTTTCAGCGTCATCAACAACTGTTTTATGTGTGTTTGTGTGTTTAAGGTGGAAAAAGCCAACTCTCGCATGAAGCAGCTGAAGCGGCAGCTGGAGGAGGCTGAAGAGGAGGCGACGAGGGCCAACGCGTCTCGCAGGAAACTCCAGAGGGAGCTGGACGACGCCACCGAAGCCAGCGAGGGTCTCAGCCGGGAGGTTCACACACTCAAGAATCGCCTCAGGTAGAAGCATCCGCCGTCACACAGTCAGAGATTTATGACATTACAAGATTTACTTTAAAGAAATAAATATTTTGACGCACAAAGATGAGTTTTTAGGGGTTGAATCAATGACCAGAGAAGGACTTCAGTCTGCAATAGAAACATTCTACCTTTGAACATACGTTTGTGAGCTGATGGAGCTCTCCCTGACCTCCTCCTCCTCCTCCTGCAGGCGTGGCGGCCCCATCAGCTTCTCCTCCAGCCGCTCGGGCCGGCGTACGCTGCAGGTGGAGGGAACGTCCTTGGACCTGCTGTCCGACGACGAGCTGGAAAACAAGATCACCGACAACAACGCCAACGAGACACCAGCTCCCCAGCCGGAGTAGAAGAGAAGACGCCTTAAGCTTTTGCTCTCCCATCCTCGTACCACTCAGCCACAACACACAGACTCTCCCCATCGGCCACGTCAGCACTTAACTAATCCCATAACAACTCCTGTTTAAATAGACACTTCTCTCCTGAACCACAGGCAGCATGATCGAAGCAAGGAGACCCCCTATTCCTGACCTGAACCTTAGCAAGACACCAGCAGTTGGACCCCGACGCTCTCTTTACCGCCCCCTTAAGGTTATAAGAAGCACTACTCTGCCTTACCCCTCCGTGTCGAGCTGCAGGGCTGCAGCACAAACATGCGACGAGTGTAGACTCTGATCCCTGCACACAGTAGAAATAGGTTTGCTCATAGCTCAGTGGGTGCACACTGGATCTCTTCTGCTGGATCAGTATTTAGCTGTTTAAAAATGCTTCCAGGTGTTAAACCGACAGCACGGCAATATTGGAAAAGGAGCAGATCATGATGAAGGCAAAGCAACCCTCTGACTTTATTTTATCTCCGATCTAAGTCCGTCGTACGTTTAGTTTTGTTAGTTGAACTGTAACTGAATAGTATTCTCCCGGTCCTGCGACGGGACCGTCTGCTTGCATATGAATATAGAAACGTGACTGTGCGCTGCCTTGTCGCTACGAAACGTCGCTCTTCGACCAGTATTGGATTCTGAGATGTTCTGACAGTAGGTCGCTGTTGACTTGTAATTATTTGGTGTGAGCGCTAAAAGCAGCAATCACACTCCTGTTCTCTTGCTTACTTCTTCTTCTTCTTCTTCTTCTTCTTCTTCTTCTGTGCCTTTTATCGCTCACTTGAAACTCAAACCCCATTTACGCCATTTACATATATTGAACCATTCGTAATTAAAAAAGTATTTTCATAAGATTGCATATATATACTGAAATATTAGCAAGAAACCTGACTTTCTTTGAAATGTACGTCTTCCTGCAGCTTTTGTGTTGCCTCGATGATTGACATGTCGACCGTGCGGGACTCTTTGTAGATGGGTGCTATGACTTTTCTTATCGATAACTTTTATACTTTTTGAGTTATTAAGATTCAAAAACAATCCAATAGACATCAACTGTATTTATATCTCTGCTATTGTATACGATACAGACTTCATTCATGTTTCAGAATGCTCAGTATTGCACATCGATCGACTGTACTTACGCTCATCATCGTGACATAAACACTTTATGAGTCATTAGGAGTTATATAATGCATTAAAGTCTATGGAGCCCAATTCTCTCCTATTGTCTGTAATATCAGTCGTGTCTTTTAGTTGTTTTTTTGTATTTTTTGCTGCTGTGTGTTCTTCACTCGGTGAAGCACCACCTCTTCCACTTCTTGGCCTGAAGTCTCACCGCATTTTAAGTTCTAGAACATGTCGACATGTAATTCTGCTGCTGAATGTCTTTTTTTTTTCTTAATTGGTTGCAGCAAACTAACCCATTTGGCCTCAACGTCTGCAAAAACCACCTCCATTTATATTTCACATCAAGTCTCGTTACAGTTTTGCATTCTGCGTTTCACTTCCTGAACCACCGGCTGGTTTTGCTTTATTCTCAGTGGGAGGTTACATCAGAGGCTTGTGCTTCCATTCAGCATTTTAAATTCCCAGTGACCCATGAAGGGGAAATCGCTAGCCATTTTTGTATGCACTTTTCAACTTTTGTCTAGACATATCCTTTTAGTGTAATATCTATACACAAACATCCCTTGTGTAGTATTTGGATGGAAAGAAAACCTGCCGACTCTTTGATTAGCTCTGTAGCACCAGAGGGAACGCTGCATGTCGAAGATCTTGGATCTCCATCCATCCATCATCTATACATCACTTAATCCTCACTAGGGTGATGGGGGCGGAGCCTATCCCAGCTGACTCAGGGTGAAGGCAGGTTCACCTGGACAGGTAACCAGTCTATCACAGGGCTACACTTAGAGACAGACAACCAAGCACACTCACATTCACACCTACGGACAATTTACAATCACCAATTAACCTCAGCATGTTTCTGGACTGTGGGAGGAAGCCGGAGAACCCGGAGAGAACCCACGCTGCACGGGGAGAACATGGAGACTCCACGCAGAAAGATCCCGGGTGTCCTCACCGGGACGTGAACCAGCGACCTTCTAGCTGCGAGGCAACAGTGCTAACCACTTCCACCTTGCAACCCTAGTCCAGATCCGGTTCACACAAATCATGCTGGACTCCATCAGAGCCTAACACATGCATCTTGGTCTCATCCGACAGAAGAATGTTCCCGATAGTCATCAGGCTTCTTCTCAAGTTCTTTCACAAAAGTTTCATCTCACAGTTTAGTGTTGGACAGCGAGCAGAAAGGAGTTTTACTGGGGACCAACCACGAACTGATTTCTGATGTAAATGCTGTTTTTCAGAGTTACGTCGTGCAGGTAGATCACTGTCTGATGTGTAGGAGGACGACGAGCAGCTGTGATTAGTGGCGCTAAAACTCGTTCCTGATTACGCTGGAATTGTGTTTCGGCTGATTTTAAGTCGATCATAAATCTTCCTGAACCCTTTTCCATCTTTCTCAAAGTCAGACTTTCCATTTCCTGTGGCAACTCTTTTTTTATGTGGAGCCTTGATGCAGCTCATAGATCTAAACCTGAGAGTTCTGGTGTTCACAGCTCATGTTCATGCAGTTTGGCTGATTGGACATCACAGGTGGATTGAGTTTTGTTTCATGATTGTATTCTCTGTTGCTCCTACTTTGGGGCCTGTGTTTTTAATACAGTCTTTTTGAAAGTGTTTATGGGACACCAGCTGAATGCACAACACCCAGTGGAGTGATTGTGTCCAGTCAGAGAGGAGATAAAGTGTCTAATGCGCCGAGTTGTGGAAACAACTTCTGTAATCCCTCATCATGTGACTCATAGTAATAATCACTCCATAATGAAGAGGGACGTCTGTCGTGGAGCGAGTGAGACGCACAAAAGACTCTGAGCTGGTCAACAAGTCAACCTTCACACCCTCAACACCATCAGGTAAGTGCTGCTGCTGATGGCTTGTGACAGAGTGGATCACGGTCTTCTGTTAAGTTTGTTTTAATCACTGTGTTGGGAGGCAGCTCAGAAACCTGAGTACCAGTAGATGTGTTGTTTTTATATATAGTTGGAACTTTGATCCTGTGCAGCTGCTCCTGGGTCAGTGTTGGCAAACCTGCTATAAATGGAACCAAGCTGGTGGTTCATTGATAATAATTAATTATTATCCATCTGTAAATGTTAGAGACAAAAAACCAAACGGCAACAATGGACGCGGTTAATTGTAGGGTTCAGCAGACTGCAGAGTGTACCTCCACTCATTCACTGACATCAACCATTCACATGCAAATGAGTCGGTGAATCACAGCCGCCGGAGCTTTTCCTATAAATACGGACGCAAACCATCCTGTCCTCCTCGCAGGGCCCCGCAGAGGTGATCCTGCTGAGCGGGACAGAAGGAGGAGAGCTGACAAGTTGTTTTTGGGGGGGAAGAGAAGAAGCGCACAAGTCGTATGATGTCCGTTGTGGGCGCGCAGCCTTTCATCAAACCAATGCAGCCTTCACCTTCAGTCTCGCCCGGTATCCAGCGGAGACACACGCTTCCAGCGAGCGAAGTCCGACCGCTGAACACGCAAGATGCTATCAGCGTCTTCGAAATCGAGCGAGAGGGTAAGTGAGCCGCCTGATGGGTCGTTTATTGGAGGCAGAAACCGAAAGGAGACCTTCATTTCATCGCGTAAAAGTTTTTTGTGGAATAGACATGTAGAATGTGTTGCAATTGATTTAGTCACTTGAAAGACATTAATTTATTTAACTTTTGAAGGTGTTTTGTTAGAAGCATCATCTACTGTCTGGAATACGTTTACTGAGCCTCTTTAAGTGTGTGCGTAAAAGTCGTGCCAAACCATTATTACGCACGGGCCAACCTCTCTCTCTCTCTCTCTCTCTCCCTTTCTCTCTCGTGTCTGTCTGTCTCTCTCTCAGCGTTTATCTCAGTGTCAGGTGACTGTCCCCTCCACCTGGATGAGGTGCGTCACTTTCTCACGCTGTGTCCGGAGCTGTCCATGGGCTGGTTCGAGGAAGGCCGACTGGTGGCTTTTATCATCGGCTCCCTCTGGGACCAGGACAAGCTGACCACAGTAAGACACTCTGCATGTCTCCAACTCATCACTTCACCGTTTAAACCAGTGCACACAGGTGAATAAAACTATGATCCTCTACCAGGAAGCCCTCACGCTCCACAAGCCGCGCGGCTCCACGCTCCACATCCACGTCCTGGCGGTCCACCGCACCTTCAGGCAGCAGGGCAAAGGCCCCATTCTGATGTGGCGCTACCTGCAGTACCTCCGCTGTCTGCCCAACGTGCGCCGAGCGGTGCTGATGTGCGAAGACTTCCTCGTTCCCTTCTACCGCAAGTCGGGCTTCAAGGTGGTGGGGCGCTGCGCCATCACGGTGGCCAACCTGACCTTCACCGAGATGTCTTACCCCATCAGCGGACACGCCTACATGCGCCGCAACAGCGAAGCCATCCGTTTCCCTCAGCATCCCTTGACTCTGCCGCTGACAAAGACGGACGAACAAGTTGATGTATGACGTGATGAATTTCAGTTGAAGTCAGTGCAACTCATTATGCTCTATTGGCTTGAAGATCAGGTTAACCACATTGCCAAAGCATCAAGGATGGTGTAGTTTTAAAAAAGAAAGGAAAAAAAGAGGTGAAAAAATGTAAGAAAATATAAAATTAAGTAATAAGATGATGAAAGAGCAAGAAAAAAAACATTATTTAGAATTTTAGATTATTTTTTAACAGACTTTAGAAAGCCCAGGGTGTCTTTAGTCGTAAAGCAAAACAATCAGTGTTGTAGATCTTTCATGGTTTTTGTTGGACTTTTTCTCTTATATCTTGTGTAAATTATTTTACTGTGAACAATAAAACAAGACTGTAGGCCCACTCTGCTAGAATGTGATGTGTTGTATATAATCATGTGAGAGGAGTGAAGCAGTTTGCTGAAGTCAGTAACTGCAGCTTCATGTTGCGTTCGTGGCTCACATTTGGACTTGTGGTTGTAAGCTGCCTCCTGCTTAGCTCCTTTCTGGACAACTATGGACTGACGTCAGCGACCAGGTTTTAGCCGCTCAATCGCAGCTCCTCCTGCTCTATTAGGGGGCTTTAGCCACTGTAAACGCCGGAGGATTTAGAGGAGGATCCACTGCAGGTCCGAGTGTTTAAACCAACATGTGCGCTGCAGGTTTGGGTTGCAGCTGAAGCTTTGTGTTATTGTGTGTGTGTCTGTCACAGTATCACAATTTCAATAAAGAATGTTTTATACTGTTTTTCTTAAGATGAACAATGAATGTTTTAAATTTGATTTCAATTCAGCTCCATTCGACATGACGCCAAAACACTACAGAAATCATCTCAGGGCCCTTTTACAGGCTGAGATGATGTTAAACTATAGTGAGAAATCCAAACATTTCCCTTTGAGCAAAGACACAAAATCTCCCCTCTAACTGGAGAAACCTCCAGCAGCCTCAGAGATGGACGCATCTGCCCTCCTCCTCTCAAAGATTATGTTTCCTACAACCAACACTGACCAACATGTCTCTGATATACAGTCGCTGACATGTTGAAGAACAGTGAACACATCATTACTTCTGTTAATATGTAAAGGTGTCCATTCCAGCTGTCTCTGAACTGCACACTGGAGACACAGGCCAGAACCGTCCTGCTCTTGAATGGAGCTTTAATCCACCGACACAGTCACCGACTCACTCCTAATCCACTAACGTGCCGGGACGAGCGGCTCCCGCTGCTCTGAAGGACAAAGTTGGCACCTAAAGGTCTCCTCAAAACTGAACCAGAAGTCCAGTTAGCAGGAGCCCACGGTGATACTTCAAATTAATGCCACATATTCATATTTTAGAATCCACCCACTTCAGTTGACTGCAGTAGAAACACAGAGGTCAGTCATTGCAGGTAATATGCATCGTTTTTCAAATAGCTGATTAAGACACTAATACATCAATAAAATCTCCGTGCTTGGCAGCTACAGTAAGATACACCTGCAGCAGCACTTCAGTGCTTCGCTTTTCCCGACGTTTGACGAGTTGCACTCAAATGACTGGAGATCCCTGAACTCTGAGGAGAGAGTACGAGGTTAGACTAGGATCTGAGGGTCATCAGGGTGTTTTGGTTCCGACAAGAGCTTCACATCTGATGCAGAAAAAGCCCACATCGACTTTGTTTTTACTAACTGGACTATTGAACCTCTTTTTAGGATCTCACAGCTCAAGCGGCCTTTCAGAGGGATAAATACAGAACTTTCACATCCCCGGTCATGTTTTCTCCAGATATAAATCTGCAGAGTGAAGATGGCCTCGCAGCGTTACTGGTTTCTGCAGCCAGCTGACATCTTTGCACAGTTGGCTGTCGGGGAAGCTGAACCGGAGCTTCTTCCTTCTGGCGGAACGTTTAGATCAACGAGGAGCAAAGCAAACAGATAAGAAGCTGTATGAGTGTATGTTATAAAACTGCCAAGCTGCTGTAAACGTATTTGAGATATTCAGAAGGTCATCTGTGCATTGATAAAGATGTTAAAGACTTTTTATGTGCTTTTGTTTACAGTGATCATCAGGTTCCAGCAGCACAATCCCACTGTCCACTTGACCCAAGAACATTATTTTTCCATTACCGAAAATAACCGGCTTTACGTTTATGTGAAGAGGAAAAATACAGGACAGAGCTGAGTGAATGGAAGTGTTTTAACCACCGGTTTATATGGCACTGGCATGATTGCAGGGCAGGGAGGTTTTGTCGTCATCATTCACAGAGAAACGAATGTGCAAATGCTCATTGTGCTCGAAGCATCAGCGCTGAGGTCTAGTATTAAACCAGCAATAACAGAGCGAAAGAAAAAGGAGCCGCCAATTATCACATGCATCAGTCAGGCAGTCGTCCAGTCGTGCAAATGGACCATTTGTGCTTCTGCATACTGTACGTGGAATCCTGCGTCATTCAGACACGTTTTATTGACGGTCGTCACGCTTGTGTCACGACACCCCGAAAAGAAACAACACAAAACCTGGAATTTGCTCTGAAAAGATTTGCCATTAACAGTACATCCTGCAAATACCTTCAGCGAGGTGACCCAGGGAACATCCTTCAGCCCCCGTCTGGACACCGAGTGGGGCCACTTCAGCCTCCAGACAGGCTCATGCGCAGTAATCCCACAAAGCCCTTCCAGTCAGCGGGTAATCTGGCAGGCAGACATCCCAGCGCTGAGGCCTCATATTCCCACATCGACATCATTTACCGTAACCTCTGCTGACACATCAGACGGGGTCTCATCAGCGAAATATCACATTTTAACCGTCTCAAAGTAAAAATGGGTATTTGAGGTCTTTCTGTGCGTCTTTCTGTAAAACTGATTTTGACACGACTCATTTGCTGCCGTGAAAAAAAGCAACATGGAACTACGCAAAGACGTTGATGTTTTAGCGGTCTGCGTGTTGCCGATGTCTGCGTCTGTCGGGGCAGTCTGGTATTAGACTCTGACCTGGTTAACCTTAACATGCTTGTATGTGAGTCATATTTAATCTCTATCCTTAATCCATCATTTCCCAGCACCGGTGCAAACAACCACTGGACGGTAAACGCTGTTAAGACGCCGCACCGCGGTAAGAAACCAGCCACCCTCCAACACTGATGTATCGTCAGGTTGTTACGTTCTTATAAATGAGGCATCCATACCTCGGTTTGGAGGGGAAAGAAAAGAGTTGAGGAAAATTATAATTAGCCCCTAAACACAACTAATAACTGAGCTGTTGTGATTGTTCAATTCAACGCCACTAATGTCAACCAGGTGGCGCTAGAGGAGAAGTCAGAGCAGATCACCAACGATTCTTCCCAAGGAGCCAGAAAAGTCATTTGTTGGGATGGAACCAAAGTAGGAACCAACCAACAGACCAACATTTTTATGCTTTTAGTTGTGAAAAGGTGTAAATATTGGTGGGAAGAGATGACTTGGTGTTTGGTCCCTACGTAGTTTACTGTAACAGACCGGTCTAGAAGAAAGGAGCTATGATTCAGACTCATCTCTGCAGCTGGAAATATTAAAACAACTTCTGGACAAAGAGCTCATTTTACCTCCATACCTTTGTATGTATTAGCTCCCTGAAACTAAATGATTTGGAATTTGTTTTTAGTCAATGTTTGAACCAAACAATTGAACGACTGAGTCAGATATGAAACACACAGCCGGTTGCATTTAAGCTTATTCCGTTGTCAGGAATGTTCACAGGTTTACTTTACGCTGAGGTGTTCTCTGACCTTTTCTTTTAGTTTTTCAGAGGGAATATTTTGAATCGGAGTCCAGAAGACCAGAAACATGAGTGAAATGAATGAAATGAAAATGAAATGAAATGAAAAATACTTTATTTATCACAGAAGGGAAATTCAATCTTGTAAAAGCTCACTTTTTTTTCAGCTGACAAACTGCTGGAAAGTTGGTAACGTAGCAGAGAGGGAGACGTTATTGACGTCTCTATAAAGAGAGACAGTAGAGTTGTTTTTAGGAAAGTATTTCCTGAAAAATGACACATT